TCCCAGAGCACAAGCGCTGTTGCTGGTTTATAATCTGACCAGCCATTAGCTCTGGTGAGTTCATTTAATCTCCTTTGGTGGTGGATTTTTCACAATTGGTTCAAGTCACTGAAGATATATATATATATATATATATATATATATATATATATATATATTTATTTTTTTTTTTTTTTGGACACTAATATATATATTTTTTGGACACTAATTTATGTTTGGACACTATAATTATTTATTTAAAATACTAAATGTTTTTTTTTTTTTTTTAGATGATGATATACACCTTTCTATAAGTTTGTTATTAGCGCATACCTTTTAATTAGGATTATTACTCAACACTGACTTGAAACTCTATGCCAAGCTTTTAGCCTCCCGCCTTACAACCTATATCCCTCTCTTGATACACCCCAGTCAAGTAGGGTTAATCCCCAACCGACAAGCCTCTGACGACACACGTAGATTCATAGAGCTCTTTCAGTGGGCCGAACACTATCGGATGCCTTCTCTCTTCATCTCTTTGGATGCAGAGAAGGCATTCAATAGGGTACATTGGAAATATCTAGAACAGGTTCTGATAAAGTACAGGCTGACAGGAACTTTTCTCCAAGCCATTGTGGGCCTTTACTCTTATCCATCAGCTAAAATCTGGACAGGGGGCTACCTATCTGATTCACTAACCATTAGTAATGGCACAAGGCAAGGATGTCCATTATTACTACTCATCTTTGCTATGGTAATCGAACCCCTAGCTGCCACAATTAGAGCTAACACATTAATCACCGGTATTGAGATTGGATCAGTTTCCCACAAAATAGGCCTCTATGTAGACGATATTATTGTCTCCCTTTCCAACCCTTCCTAGTCTATATCCACGCTACTACAAATATTGGAAGACTTCGGACAGGCCTCGCTATAGAAAGTTAACCATTCTAAATCTGCAATGATTGGCATACATCTCAACCATGCCACTAAAACAGAGATCTCACAAAAAGCTCATTTCTCATGGGCACACAATTCAATGGTCTCATACCTAGGGATACAACTAACTACTCCCTCCTCTGCCTTCCTTCGTATTAACCTGGAACTACTGAACACAAAATTGCAAAAAATCATCTCTAACCTAAAGGGACTAAAACGTCCTGGGCTGGACGAATTGCACTCACTAAAATGTTCTTCTTACCGCACGCCTTGTACTTATTCAGAACCCTACCGGTTCCCATTCTCTCCCACCACATAAAAAGAATACAAACGATTATCAACTCCTTTATCTAGGAACACAAACAACTTCATTTGCATCACTCTGTTCTATATCTTCTGATCAAGTCTGGAGAGATGGGAGCACCAGACCTCAAACTATACTACAAAACTGCCATCCTTGACCAAACCAAAACCTGGTGGAACCCCGGAATTTTTACCAACTGGAAACAGATTGAATGCACTTTCCTACCCGCGGAACCACAATTTTTCCTAAGTGCCTTATGGCTCCACTATCACCCACTCCATGTCTTTCTGGATATTTTCAAAGCCACTACGAGAGTATGGTGCTCTATCTTACAACTCAAAAAAGGACTCTCTGTGCATACGCTGGAAGACCTCCCGCTGGGGTCACTGACTCTCCTCTCCCCAAACATCCCCATACACCGCTGGTCCACCAAAGGGGTATACTTTTTGAACCAGATGTACTCTCATTAAGTCCTCCACACTTTCCAGCTTCTGTCCACTACCTTTTTAATCCCGAAACAAGATTTCTATCTCTATCTTCGTATATGGTACATTCTATCCTCCTACACATCTCACCAACAATATCCTCCAATTCTACTCCTCTCAAAAAACAAAAATAAAAGGCCTTTCCTTTATCTACATGCTCTTCAAGTCTTTGCTTACTGAGACTAAAAATAACGCTATGCAGTTCTGGGAACAGACTCTGAATTTCCATATGTCACCAACATCATGGCACCTGATGCTACAAACCCCCCGCATATTCTCCAGGAATATCTCCCACTGGGAGTCAACGATGAAAATTTTTTACCAATGGTACTACACTCCCACCAGGCTGGCAAAAATGTTTCCCTTTTCCTCTCCTACCTATTGGAGAAATTGCCACATGGAAGGATCCATGATACACGTTTGGTGGTCTTGTCCAGTAATTAAACAGCTATGGACTGATGTAGATCATCTTCTCTGCACAACAACGGGCCACAGACGGCCCTCTTGGGAGTAGGTCTCAATGAATGGCCCACATCAGCACATTACCTGATCACCCACATCCTCATAGCTACTAGATTATCCATAGCCCGCAACTGGAAGCAACCCTCCACACCCACCATATAAACGGTGATCTCTCTCCTGAATGAGCAATATCTAATGGAATTCATGTTCGCCAAAGCTCACCTGATGATTCCAAAGTTCCATAAAAAATGGGCACAGTGGTCTCTCAACCCCAGAAGTTGAACCCTTTCTTAAAGTCCTCAGATATGACTTTAGTCAACATCTACCACACAACTCATTCTTCTCTGTCCATGTCCCACCCTATTAGTGGGGGACATTGCACCCATTATAGCAGTCTCAATCAAGCGCCTCTTTGAATGTATTCTCTGCTCCAGAAGTATAGGGGGTTAGGGTCTTCCCTGGCCCTCTTTCCTCCCCCCCTTGTATGATATGCTTAGATATCTTCAGTGTATTAGAGAATGTTCCTCAGCATTGTTTCTTTTCTTTTTGTCTTGCAATTGCATGTAAACCTGAAAACTCTTAATAAAATTTAAGTGAAAAAAAAAAAAAAGTAATGCAGCGCCATAACGCAAAAAAATGGCCTGGTCAAGAAGGGTGGTAAATCCTCAGGAGGGCAAGTGGTTAATAAAGACCTGGTTTCAAATGCTTTCAAATGGAGTGTTAAAAAGTGCAGGTTAAGATAATAACTTTCATGATTTGTTTTGCATGAATTTATGCTGAAAAGGTAGAACCTAAACCAGGTCATTCATTAGGGTTAATTTGTTTAGATACATACCAGTGACTTCCTTCTATCCATATATACATTTATATGGTGGTACCTGGGAGGATGATTGTAGTTACTGTATGTCTATGTAGCCTTACACCTTTATGAGCACTGGCCAAGTTCAGCCACCGAAAGTATCAGCATATATATATATATATTATACATATATTCCCTACTTCTTTATGTTGTTTACACAGTTGATAATGACAGAATATTTGCAATAAGTAGAAGGCAATATAGCAAATTACATTCTAGAACATTGAGTTCCAAGTTACTACAAATTAATAATTTGGATATACGTTGCATAAATTCTGTTTTAATAATACACAGTAACTAAGCAAAAAGTTTCACATTTAGCTGGTTAAAATGCATATCACGGCTTTTTCTGTCCTCACTGTTCTGGAAGGAAAGCAGTCTGATGCATATCATGAAACTATTCAATTGGACAAATGTGAACTGATTGAATGCTCTGGTAACATTTACATAAACAATTAATGCCACAAGATAATTCTATCTTGCTCCTAACAATGTTTAACAGGGAGGTATATTTGTCAAAGCTTAACAGTTCTCTGCCATTGTTACCATGCAGAATGCTACTTAGCTAACATTGTGAAACATGTCACATTCATTAAACTGCTGTCAACAGGTTGCACATTTGGTGATGTTTAAAAGCCATGATGGGTACAAATAAGGAAGTTCAAGGTTCACAAACTAGATGAAAATATAATGTAAACCCATAACATACGATTGTGTTAAAATGGTTTAAACACAATCACACACCAAACTGTCTTGGTACTGAGAGATCAGATCATCATTGCATCTCTGGTAGTTTCAATGTCTCTATTACTTTTTCTGTTGACTGTGCTGATTGAAGCTTATTCGAACCTTGAAAAAGCAATCAAGTGTATGTATGGTTTTTGCAATGTAAAACTCTCTGTCACGTATCTGGATAGTGAGCATGATGTGAAGAGGCAGGCCTCCCGTACAACTCTGGCTCAAGGACCTCTGATGGTGAGACAGCGTCCACAGGGGCACGTTGGGGTATGGGTGCCTGTGATCAGTCCAGTAATAGCTGGTAAGCAGATGAGTTGTAGGCCGGAGGCAGAAAGCAGGGTTCTGATGCAGCCATGCAGGATGGATGGATACCCAAGAGCAGCATACTGAGGATGCAGGGACGAGCCGGGTTTGGTATTGGTCAGGCAGATCGGGCTAAAAGCGGCAGGAGGAAGAGTAGTCGGGTCACAGGCCAGGTCAGCAGCGGAAGATCAATCAGACAGGAGCGGAGACAAAAGGATAATCCAAGGCAAGCCAGAGATCAGGGCAGGTAGTGGCCAAGTGGAGTTCAGGAACAAGCTGGTTCTGTATCAGGAGACAATCACAGGAATCAGGGAACACAAGCAGGGATAAGACCATACGGCAATGGGACAACTACTGCAGCCAGTTTAAATAACCATTTTGGTGCCAATATTAGTGACAGGCATGCGTCTGTATGTGCAAGTCCAAGCACTCGCACATCTGTTTGGTTTGTAAGGACTCTGCGCATGTGCATATTTGCTCGCATATTTGTGCACCATGGAACTTCACCTGCACTATGGGCAGGCCTTTCCTGACACTCTCTTTAATATGTACAGTAAGTGATGTGAACATGCACTATAATCCCTCCAGTGTGGCTTTCTTTTAAGGGAATCCTCACCCCAAGAAGAACCTAGACCTGATAACAGCCTTGATCATTGAACAGATTCCCCATTCTACTAGCTACAACAGATTCACCAGACTTTGCCAAAGGGAATCCTTTTGGATCTCCTAGCTCACAACTTCTCTCTATATAACTTGAATGAGACCATAAAATCATGTTGGACTATGTGTTCATGATAACTAGAGATGAGCGAAGTATTCAAAAATTCGATTCGACTGATTCGGCGAATTCGTGGAAAAATTTCGATTCGAGTCGAATATATTCGCTGTGAATTTAACTTAAAAAAGGGTGTTTCTAGGCTTCAGAGAGACTTAATATTAGTGCTGAACACTGTACCTTTAATTTAAATGCCCTTGGAGTCTGCTGGGGAAGAGAAATAATACTGTCAGTCAGTATGACATGCAGATGAGTGCCGTCGATCTTAGAATCACCGCACACTTCACTCATTTGGGCAGTCACGGGGCCAAAACCAGAGTGTGGAGCCACAGTGTGGCGGTGGAGGCAGCAGCAGCAATGGGAGGCCATACAGCACCCTATGACAAAAATGGAAACCACCAGCAGTGTGAGGAGACCTGAAAGTGGCACATGGCAGAGTGTGGCGATAGAGACAGCAGCAATGGGAGGCCGTACAGGGACCCATGACACACTCTGGACCTGGCAGCAGCATGAGGAGGCGGTACAGGGGCCCATGGCAGATTACGGGCCTGGCAGCAGCATGAGGAGTCGGTACGGGGCCCATGGCAGATTACGGGCCTGGCAGCAGCAATGGGAGGCCGTACAGGGACCCATGACACACTCTGGACCTGGGCAGCAGCATGGGGAGGCGGTACAGGGGCCCATGACAGATTACGGGCCTGGCAGCAGCATGAGGAGTCGGTACGGGGGCCCATGACACACTCTGGACCTGGCAGCAGCATGAGGAGGCGTTACAGGGGCGCATGACAGATTACGAGCCTGGCAGCAGCAACTTGGACAGGAGGACGTTCAGCTTCTGCACCGTCGGGTGCGTGCTCGCAAACTGTTGTCTCTTGGAAACGGATTCCAAGAAAGACTGCTGTGACGGAATCCGTGAAGAGGAGTAGCAGGAGAAGGAGCATCTGAACGAGCGGAATATGCCAACAAGCGACAACAGGGGCCCATGACAGATTACGGGCCTGGCAGCAGCATGAGGAGTCGGTACGGGGGCCCATGGCAGATTAGGGGCCTGGCAGCAGCTATGGGAGGCCCGTAATCTGCCAGCACCCTATGACAAAAAATGGAACCCACCAGCAGTGTGAGGAGACCTGAAAGTGGCACATGGCAGAGTGTGGCGATGGAGACAGCAGCAATGGGAGGCCGTACAGGGACCCATGAGAGACTCTGGACCTGGCAGCAGCATGAGGAGGCGGTATAGGGGCCCATGGCAGATTAGGGGCCTGGCAGCAGCTATGGGAGGCCCGTAATCTGCCAGCACCCTATGACAAAAAATGGAAACACACCAGCAGTGTGAGGAGACCTGAAAGTGGCACATGGCAGAGTGTGGCGATGGAGACAGCAGCAATGGGAGGCCGTACAGGGACCCATGAGAGACTCTGGACTTGGCAGCAGCATGAGGAGGCGGTATAGGGGCCCATGGCAGATTAGGGGCCTGGCAGCAGCTATGGGAGGCCCGTAATCTGCCAGCACCCTATGACAAAAAATGGAACACACCAGCAGTGTGAGGAGACCTGAAAGTGGCACATGTTTGGGGCATGATTCATGGCGGATTTAGTCAGTTGTGTCAGGAACTGGTGGTTTGAAATCCAGACTAATCCACCACGCCTGATTCATTTTCACAAACGTGAGTCTCTCCACACTTTGGGTGGACAGTCGTGTCCTCCGCGGAGTTGCAATACCTCCTGCCGCACTAAACACGCGCTCCGATGCCACGCTACTGGCCGGGCATGACAGCCTTTCAAGGGCAAATTCAGCTAGTTGGGGCCAAAGGTCAAGTTTCGTTGCCCAGTAGTCAAGGGGATTGTCTACCTCGGTTGGCAGGGTGCTGTCCAAGTAGGCCTAAGCCTGTTGTTTGAGGTCCTGCTCCAGGTCCACCTGATGCTGCTGCTGCTGCTGCTGCTGCTGCGGCTGGCTGGTTAGTAGTTTCCTCACTGCGCTGGTGAAGAAAGCTACTCATCATCGACTGCAGACTGAGGCAGCCGCTGCTGGTGGAGCTGCCACTGCTCCTACCCCACCCCACCCCTCCCCTGCTGCCATGGCAGCGGAACGCGAGCGCACAGGGCCCACAGTGTCTGAGGATGGACGTTGGCGCAGAAAAGGCAGAGACCAGCTGACTACATAGGTGGTTTTTTTATAGTACGTTATTTTGGCCTCCCTCTCAGCAGGTGTGAAAAAGGCCACCATTTTTGAACGGTAGCGAGGGTCCAACAAGGTGGACAGCCAAAAGTCATCCCTCTGTCTGATGGTTATTATTCGGCTGTCGCTACGCAAGCAAGCGAGCATGCTATGGGCCATTTGTGCCAAGGAATGCGAGGGACTCCCTGCCTCCATCTCCACAGCATACTGCCACGGTGCGTCTGGGTCCTCTGTCTCCTCTCCTCCTCCTCCTCTACCAGATGCTCCTGCTCCTCCACTCCTGTCCGCTGAGTGGAAAAACCACCCATTTCACTCAATAATTCCTGAGCACCAATGTCCTCCTCTACCTCCTCCTCTTCTTCCTGTCCTGCCCCCACAGGGGTCATGTGGCGTTGAGATCTGTGCGCCACGTCTACCGCACCCTGACCAGCCATTGTTAACAGCATTTGTTCCAGGACGTGCAACAGAGGAATGACGTCGTTCATCCCATAGTCCTGCCGACTCACGAATAGCGTGGCCTCCTCAAAGGGCCTGAGCAAGCGCAGGTGTCACGCATGAGCTGCCAATGGCTGACATCTAAGTTACACAGGGAGTACCTTTATCCGCTTTTAACATCAGGAAATCTGTGATGGCCTTTCGCTGTTCGTAAAGGCGGTCTAACACATATGTAGGGTTGAATTCCACCTTGTTGCAACGTCACAGCATGAGGAGTCGGTACGGGGGCCCATGGCAGATTACGGGCCTGGCAGCAGCAATGGGAGGCCCGTAAATCTGCCAGCACCCTATGACAAAAAATTGGAACCCACCAGCAGTGTGAGGAGACCTGAAAGTGGCACATGGCAGAGTGTGGCGATGGAGACAGCAGCAATGGGAGGCCGTACAGGGACCCATGAGAGACTCTGGACCTGGCAGCAGCATGAGGAGGCGGTATATAGGGGCCCATGGCAGATTAGGGGCCTGGCAGCAGCTATGGGAGGCCCCATAATCTGCCAGCACCCTATGTCAAAAAATTCAACACACCAGCAGTGTGAGGAGACCTGAAAGTGGCACATGGCATGAGACACTGTGGACCTGGCAGCAGCATGAGGAGGCGGTATATAGGGGCCCATGGCAGATTAGGGGCCTGGCAGCAGCTATGGGAGGCCCGTAATCTGCCAGCACCCTATGTCAAAAAAGGGAACACACCAGCAGTGTGTGAGGAGACCTGAAAGTGGCACATGGCAGAGTGTGGCGATGGAGACAGCAGCAGCAATGGGAGGCCGTACAGGGACCCATGAGAGAGACACTCTGGACCTGGCAGCAGCATGAGGAGGCGGTATATAGGGGCCCTATGGCAGATTAGGGGCCTGGCAGCAGCTATGGGAGGCCCGTAATCTGCCAGCACCCTATGTCAAAAAATTGGAACACACCAGCAGTGTGTGAGGAGACCTGAAAGTGGCACATGGCAGAGTGTGGCGATGGAGACAGCAGCAATGGGAGGCCGTACAGGGACCCATGAGAGACTCTGGACCTGGCAGCAGCATGAGGAGGCGGTATGGGGGCCCATGGCAGATTAGGGGCCTGGCAGCAGCTATGGGAGGCCCGTAATCTGCCAGCACCCTATGTCAAAAAATTCTACACACCAGCAGTGTGTGAGGAGACCTGAAAGTGGCACATGGCAGAGTGTGGCGATGGAGACAGCAGCAATGGGAGGCCGTACAGGGACCCATGAGAGACTCTGGACCTGGCAGCAGCATGAGGAGGCGGTATATAGGGGCCCATGGCAGATTAGGGGCCTGGCAGCAGCTATGGGAGGCCCGTAATCTGCCAGCACCCTATGTCAAAAAATGGAAACACACCAGCAGTGTGTGAGGAGACCTGAAAGTGGCACATGTTTTTGGGGCATGATTCATGGCGGATTTAGTCAGTTGTGTCAGGAACTGGTGGTTTGAAATCCAGACTAATCCACGCCTGATTCATTTTCACAAACGTGAGTCTCTCCACACTTTGGGTGGACAGTCGTGTCCTCCGCGGAGTTGCAATACCTCCTGCCGCACTAAACACGCGCTCCGATGCCACGCTACTGGCCGGGCATGACAGCCTTTCAAGGGCAAATTCAGCTAGTTGGGGCCAAAGGTCAAGTTTTTCGTTGCCCAGTAGTCAAGGGGATTGTCTACCTCGGTTGGCAGGGTGCTGTCCAAGTAGGCCTAAGTTTGAGGTCCTGCTCCAGGTCCACCTGATGCTGCTGCTGCTGCTGCTGCTGCTGCTGCGGCTGGTTAGTAGTTTCCTCACTGCGCTGGTGAAGAAGAAAGCTACTCATCATCGACTGCAGACTGAGGCAGCCGCTGCTGGTGGAGCTGCCACTGCTCCTACCACCCCACCCCTCCCCTGCTGCCATGGCAGCGGAACGCGAGCGCACAGGGCCCACAGTGTCTGAGGATGGACGTTGGCGCACAAAGGCAGAGACCAACTGACTACATAGGTGGTTTTTTATAGTACGTACGTTATTTTGGCCTCCCTCTCAGCAGGTGTGAAAAAGGCCACCATTTTTGAACGGTAGCGAGGGTCCAACAAGGTGGACAGCCAAAAGTCATCCCTCTGTCTGATGGTTATTATTCGGCTGTCGCTACGCAAGCAACCGAGCATGCTATGGGCCATTTGTGCCAAGGAATGCGAGGGACTCTCCCCTGCCTCCATCTCCACAGCATACTGCCACGGTGCGTCTGGGTCCTCTGTCTCCTCCTCCTCCTCCTCTACCAGATGCTCCTGCTCCTCCACTCCTGTCCGCTGAGTGGAAAAACCACCCATTTCACTCAATAATTCCTGGAGCACCAATGTCCTCCTCTACCTCCTCCTCTTCTTCCTGTCCTGCCCCCACAGGGGTCATGTGGCAGCAGTTGAGATCTGTGCGCCACGTCTACCGCACCCTGACCAGCCATTGTTTAACAGCATTTGGATCCAGGACGTGCAACAGAGGAATGACGTCGTTCATTCCCATACTAACAATGTAGAGAGGTTGAATTTCCACCTTGACAAGACTCTTGCAACGTCAGCAGCATGAGGAGTCGGTACGGGGGCCCATGGCAGATTAGGGGGCCTGGCAGCAGCTAAGGGAGGCCCGTAATCTGCCAGCACCCTATGTCAAAAAATTCAAGAACACACCAGCAGTGTGTGAGGGAGACCTGAAAGTGGCACATGGCAGAGTGTGGCGATGGAGACAGCAGCAATGGGAGGCCGTACAGGGACCCATGACAGACTCTGGACCTGGCAGCAGCATGAGGAGGCGGTATATAGGGGGCCCATGGCAGATTAGGGGCCTGGCAGCAGCTATGGGAGGCCCATAATCTGCCAGCACCCCTATGTCAAAAAATTCAACACACCAGCAGTGTGTGAGGAGACCTGAAAGTGGCACATGGCAGAGTGTGGCATGGAGACAGCAGCAATGGGAAGGGCCGTACAGGGACCCATGCAGACTACTGGACTTCGGCAGCAGCATGAGGAGGCGGTATATAGGGGCCCATGGCAGATTAGGGGCCTGGCAGCAGCTATGGGAGGCCCGTAATCTGCCAGCACCCTATGTCAAAAAAATTCTCTACACACCAGCAGTGTGTGAGGAGACCTGAAAGTGGCACATTGGCAGAGTGGTGGCGATGGAGACGCAGCAGCAATGGAGAGACCGTACAGGGACCCATGAGAGACTCTGGACCTGGCAGCAGCATGAGGAGGGCAGGTATATAGTGGCCTATGGCCGGATTAGGGGAGGGCTAGGCAGCAGCTATGGGAGGGCCCGT